ATATATTCTATTTGTTATATGAAGAAAATGGTTGAAGTTTTTATTTTTCTCTTGAATTTGACATATGTCATCTATTATAGGTCTAATACTTGTATTATAATTTTCTTGTGACTAACATTACTGATTTGAAAAGGTAAACAGTATTAATCCTTTAGAGAAAGTATGTCAGATTTTCTACTTTTTGGTAAAAATTTTGAGAGAAAAATCCAGTAGTGAAAGCAGAAAGGAAAACTAACTTGAAAAGAAGTTGTAAAAGTTACACTATATAGAATATTATATTAAACCAAGTAATTATTTAGGCCTAAGCCTTTATAGTACTTAACAAAGCTCCAAAACTTATCTACTACTTCTTTACTTGGTAGTACTTATGTTTTATATCAGAAACTTCACTTACAAGAGTTCGAATCTTTTTCAGCTCTTTTTAGTTACAATCAACATGCAGTGAATAGTCTCCTAATTACCTCAAAATAGAGTTTTGTTATATTTAAATATAATAACTATATAGTTTTCATAGGTCAGACTTTTTGGAAAAAGTTGGTGTAAGAGATCATTGGAAAGAGTATGCTTTTTTTATTAATTATTAATATCTAATTACATTTTAATTTGTAATACAATATTATTGAATTTCTGAAAGCTAAAGCTTAGACTAATTTATTTATAATTCAGACTTTGCTAAGGAGAATTAAAGTTCCCACTTAGTCTACTATTGTATTGATGTAATTTGGTAATATATTGTAGTTTATAAACAGTTTTTTCTATATTTTAAGTTTAATTTTTGTTTTTAGTTCTGTTAGCTTTGTATTATATATATTGGCTATAGCTGTTGAAACTGTTGTTATATTTTCATCTGCTTGCTGTAGCTGTATTGTGTTTAGTTTGTTTGAAGTGTTATATTGTTCTTTGCATTATGTTAACTATATTCTTTTATATATTTTTTGTACAATTTTATGCATTAGATAAACTGATAAGCTGTGTTTTGATTTTGGTATTTGTGCTATTTTGTTTATATATTTTATATTGTTTTGTGATAATATCCTTAGTATTACTCTTGTTAGTTCAGTTTGTGCATCTGTTAGGCATATGCTTTAAGTAATTACAGTCTGGTGATATTCCTAATTAGGAAATCAAGCTCTAGAATAATCCATGTGTCAATCCTCATATCTGATTGGCTATTACATACATCATACTGGCTTTTAATCCTGCACTTTAGTGTCTTACAAAAAAAATTCTTTTAATAATTATTAGATAGTGCAAGTTTTCAAATAAGTAGTATAGAACGTCTAGTTTTGTTAATCTCATTTAATCCCTTCAACAAACCTGTTTTGCTAAAAGTAAATGAGACATCAAAAATCAGTTTTTTTTTTTAGCTAATATGAAATATAAAGCTATGCTACTGTCAATTCAGTACAAGGTCATCGTAAAATTACATTGTGTTAAGACAAGTAAGTATACAATGTATGCTGAACTTTTAATTCAATACTTTAATTAGTTTTAAGCTAACATATAGTATATTAAACCTACTGAGATCTTATATACAGGTTTATATAAAAAAGATCATAGCATGATAGTTAGAGTGGGAAATAATATAATATTTAGAATAGAACATAGCATGATAGTTAGAAAGAGACATAGCACAATAGTATGAATAAGATATAGCATTATAGGATATAGTATAATAGTTGGAATGGGACATAGCATGATAGTTAAAATTGAATGTAGCACTTTAATAAAGAATATAGTGCAACAGTTTAAGCAGGACATGCTATAATAGTTAGAACAGGATGTGCATAATAGTTAGAACAAAATGTAGCACAATAGTTAGATTTAGGACATAATGCAATAGTCAGATTTAGGCATAGAATGATAATTCAGAATGTAAATTTGGAACATAGCATGATATTTAGATTTGGGGCATAGCACAATAGTTAGATTTAAGAAGAATACATAGTTAGATTCAGAAGCATTACAGTAGTAAAGCTCAGGATATAGCATGATAGTTAGATTCGAGACATATTATAATAGTTAGATTCAGGACATAACATAATAGTTAGATTCAAAACAGCACGATAGTCAATTTAATTTTTTTTTTGTATTGTTTTTTTTTTATCTTTTTAATAAAAATTTTAATAAAATTTTTATTAGATCTGAACTGATTTCTGAGGTTATAAACATAAAAATAAATTAAATAAATATTTAATCAATATAATTTTATGAATAACACATATAACATATTGGGTTTCAGGTATCAACATATCTCATATAACACAAAAATTTCCATAATCTGGAATATTCTAATCGGCATATCAATACTATAAAAGATGCGATCTACATTGCCCTAATTTGGTATATCGCCAGACTGAATTAGCATTGTTATTTGATATTATGTTTTGTTATCTGTTATATCTTGTTTGGCCAGAATTTTGTTTACTATTTTAGTTATTATTTTTTGTAAACTTGTGCTATTGCAACTGCATGTAATTAAATAATGATTGCTTTTTGTTATAGTGTAGCATCTATTATATGTTGAGTTAGAATATTTTTTGTTATTACATTTATGCAGAACTTTTAGTATTAGCAACTTTTCTAGTAATAGTTTTAGTTTAAAAGCTTTTAGTTAAGAGTATTTAGAATTAGTTTTTTTTTATATTAGTAAATATTGGTAGTTTAAATAATTGTAAAAGAAATTTCAATCTAGATTCTTGCAATTAGAGTTTCAAATTTGTGCTTTTGTTTGTGATTGCTAGTATGCTATATAGCAAGTATTTTGAATATACCAAACAAATTTTCTAATGTTGTGTTCGATTAGTTTGTTCTACCATATAGAGTATAAAATATTGTAATATATATTTTTGTAATTTATATCTGTGTTTATAATAAAAGAGTTGAGTTTTGTAAAATAAATAATAGAATCATTAATTGTAAATATATAGTGTAAGTCTTTTCTTGCAACTATTATTTTTCAAGTTAGCTAGCTTGGTCAGTTATTTAAATAGTATATTTGATATATATCTTCTGTTGTAATTGTATTTACTAAGTCAGCTAGTTTTATAAATTATGTTTTGTTTGTAATAATTTTTATTATAGATTTGTAAGATGTTATTATTAAGCTAATTATCAAAGTTGTAAGAAGTATTTTAGTTGTAAAAAACTATCTAAAAGCTATTATTTTGCATTATTGCTTTATTAGTAAAATGTTATATATTATTGTATTCTGCTATATATTTTTAATTATTTGTTAGTTTTAAATTAGTTAAAAGTTAATATTTTTGTAATTTTTGTATTTTTGCTATAAATCTTGTAAATAATTAGCTATTTCTGAGTTTTTTATTGCCTCTTTTGCTAGTCTATAATGTTTTAATAATATGCTATGATTTTTCTATATCTTTGTATTGTTGTTATGTTTAGTTAGTTGTTTTAGCTATACATATTTGCTCTAATAAATTTATTGCTATCAAGTATTATTTTTTGAAGATTATATATATTAAGTTTTCTTGTATATTTTTCTTTTTTAATTTTAAGATTATTATATTTGCAGTTTGTGTATAGTTTTAATTTGTTGGTTAGATTATCAATAGTTTAATAATTAATTATTACTTGTTTGTTCTTTATTGATAATATACATCCTATATAGCTAGTTAGTATATTATGCTTAATTACCTATATTGCTTTCTTAAGTATTTGATGATAAGTAAATGTATATAGATTTGAAGTAATAAGATTGTAAGTGTTGTTGTCTAAGTTTTGTTTTATGATATTTGTTATTATTTTATACTACTTAGGTTCTTTTTCTCTTGATATATAAAGTATTGTATATAAGATTTATATTCAAGTTAGTATATCTGTATTGTTATAATTAGTATATTGTTCAATTAAATAAAGCTTTAGTTTGTTTAGTTTAGTTTTGATTGCATATAGTCTGTCTATATACTAAAGTCATAATTTATTGTTGTACTACTATATTCTACTAAATTTGGCCAGTTGTTATTGTTGTTTTAAAAGATTAAATTTGCTTATTATAAGCTAAATAGCATGTTTGCTAATAGAGGTTTTGCTTCTTTTTGTAATAACACATATGTGCTGTTAGTCAATATTGACTTGTTGTTGTGAGCTGCATTTTGGATTTGTTGTATATATATTTTTATTATTAAATTTTGATGTATTTGAATAGTTTAGTATTTGTATATAAGTAAAATATACTGTTGTATTTGGATGTCTGTTACTGTTTATAGGTCATAAATGTGATAATAAAAGAGTATTAAGTTAGATACTGTTTATGCAAAACTAGTCTTGGGTTTTATTAATATTGTATAGTTGTTTGTAATTAATTTATATAGTTGTAAATATAAAGAAGTATTCTGAACTCTGTATGCAATTCTTGTTAGAATAACTGCATTGATAATATATATAGCTTGCTTTTTTGTAATATTTGCATTTTTGATTCTTCTTATAGCATTTTTAGTTTCTTTTTTTATAATTTTATGAACTGGCTTGTGATTTTTGTAGATGGTATATCAGCATCTTAGAAATCTAAAGACCTTCTTAAATTGTATTGCTTCTATTATTGTATTGTTATAAATTATATTTTTATTATATTATTTAAGTTGGTTATTGCTAGTACTGATTTGTTAAGATTTATTTTTATGTTTGTACGAAAAAAGAATAAACTTGTAATTAGTGTTCCGAGTTGGTAAAATTTTGCCAATCGATTAGTTGCCTACTATAGTTGCAACTAATCGATTATAAGATCACGTGCTCAAATTAATCGATTAGTTGTTTAGTTGTTTAGTTGCTAAGCTATTTAATCGTTCAGTTGTTTAGTTGATATAATTTACTATAAGGAAATTTGCCTGTATAATATTTTGGATACTTTTTCTATATGAAACTATTAACAGATTTTGGATAAAATTGAAATTCTAACAAAATATAAATGGCCCAAGATTTTACTAAAACAATTTACTTTAATTTTGCATTTGTATACAATTTTATAATTTAAAATTGTAATGTTAATAGGACAAGATAGGCATCCTGGAACAGGAAAAAAGCTTAAGGTAATAAAAATATACAACAACCCTTTACATCATTAGCCAGAAAGTTACCTTACTATAATATCTAAATAAATATAATACCTATATATGTCCATCCCAATATTAATAATAATAAAGTTCCTCAGTTTAAAACCCAAAACAAGTATATGAATAATTTTCATTCTGATAGCAAATTTCCCGGAGATCAAATTCTTCAAAGTCATTAATATGATAAGTTTATTTTTTTTTTTTTTAAAAAAAAAAAAAAAGAGCCAGAGATACCATTTGAAATTTATTTGCTTATTTGATGTTTATATTAACAGATTAATTTTGAAAGTCAATTATCAAATAAATATTCAATTAGGTATTGATTACTAGAAACATTATAATAAAATCGTAAATGACATTTATACTTATGGAACTAGATCTCAAAGATCCTACAAAGTAAAATTTTAACATAAAATGGAAGATGCCCACAAATATATGAGAGTTAAATAAAGAGCCCGATAACACCTACAGTACGTATTTAATAATATATAGATACTACATAAGCTTAAATTAAAACAATAATGGAACAATTAAAATAATTTTTATACTTACTGGGCTAATACAAGCCTTACGACCCAAAAAGCACTTTTAAAAGTAAAACTTATAAACTTGGGTCATTATCATAAAGTTCAAATAAAATTGATATTTATATTCACAAAATAAATAAGAATTGAGTAACCTGGAACGTACTATGTATAAAGATAAAAACCTAAATTTTAACTGTAATTTTTGAGATTTTAAACATTGAATAAATAATCTTCGGACCCACCAAATTAATAATAATAAAACGACTCGAAAGGTGCTGTTTGAAAGGCAAGCATGATATAAGCTTGATTTACAAAAAATAAATAAGATAATAAATGCATACCAGACTAATGCGAATTAAAAAATCTGGAGTTTGAAAGCACTATTTAAAGTAATCACTTATAAGTTTGAATTGCAAATTTTAACAACTAATTATTGTACTCACCAATTCCATGTAAAATAAATGAGTAGAAGGCAGTTTAATAGTAGTGTTTGTAAATTTAATTGTAAGTTTAAATAGAAGAAATAAATGATCTTTTATACTCTTAAAATTATGACTTAAATTATGTAATCATAAGTTTGAAATTTAAAATGATAATCGATTACCCAACTAAAATAGCAGGCACATTTAATGAAAATACTTACGAATCAAATCGAATGTTTTAAATAAGAAATACTTACAAGGTCTACTTAATAATAAATATTATAAGTAAGATACAGATCACAAGATACACAAACATATGATTCTTATTAAGAATATCATCATAAAGCATTTAATACATAAATTACCTTAAGTAGAAAAAACATCAATGCTGCTCATATTTTTTTTAAGAAATATCAATTGTTTTAATAAATCAGGATCGAGTCTGTTGTGCTTATCTGTTATATGGTTACCTGCATCAAAAAACAGATGCTCTGATGGGACAAAGGAAGCTGGCATCACAAGATATCGTCTTGCCAAGATTGCCAAAGTAGGAAAGAGAGTTTTGTTTTGGTGTCACCAAATCAAAGGACAGGATTCTTCTTCAAGAGAAATTTCAGATATTTCACAATACTGGTCAAATTCATTAGGTACATTAGTGCTTTCTGTTCGTGAATGAGAAAAACATACTGCCATTTTAAGCTTTTTACGTTGAGGTGGTGTTAAGGTTGTATTATTATCATTAGTGGTTTGTATAGTGTTATCATTTGTAGTTTGTATTAGTTCATTAAATCAATTACACATAATTTGGATTATTGTACAGTGTAAATTACTTGAACAGAAATTTAAGCTCTTAAATCATGGGTCAAGAAAAGAACAGCACAATCCTATCTCACTTGGATCTTCCCAACGTTCAACTAAGTTATTCAAGATCGTGTCTTTCACAAGAATTGCTTTATAACTTTGTCCAGTAAATTGCCTAAGCTGGCGAGTGAGTTCTTCCAACATTGATGTCATAAAACCAAGTATTAGATATTCAGATCCGCTTAAAAATTGTGTTGCTTTATCGAAAGGAGAAAGGATTACAATAAGTTCATTCAATAATTCAAATTCATTTTCTGAAGAAAGAAAAGAACTCATCATTTCTGCTCCTCTTCTAATCTTCCTAACAGTATGATTATTAAGAGTTGAATGTAATTGTATAATAGCAGGTTTTAAAGATACAAGACGTTCAATAGAATAAAAGGTAGAGTTCCATCTGGTATCTACATCTTTAATAACATCTAGTGGTTCTTTGAGGCCTGGAGTAATTTGTAGCTAAGCCTCACGAAGTTGCTTTCATTTTTTTTCTTTTGACAAAATAGAGATAAGTGATTTACATTTTGAAATAAGTCTATCAATTTCCTTTAATCCTAAATTTACACTTAATTGTAATGTATGTTCAGCACACTTAATATTAGTAACATCCATTTTTTGTACCGCAGATTTGACATTTGCGCCATTATCTGTAGTAATAGAAAAGACCTTTTTATGATTAATATTAAATTTATCAAGAACAGAATTAACTGACTCAACAATATCATCTGCGCAATGATCATCCAACTCTCCAATTTCAAGTACAATTTCGTACAACTCAAATGAATCTGTAAGCCAATGACAAGTAATTCCAAGATAACTATCATGGGCACATGAAGACCAAATATCAAAAGTTAAAGAGACAGTGTCTGACGTCCTTGAAATAAGATCGATAATTTGCTTTACTGCCGAATTATAAGAGTCAAATATGATCATTTTTATTGTATTAACACATGGCATCTTAAAGCGAGGATCAAATTTTTTTAACAAAAGTTTAAAGTCATCAATTTCAACAAGATGAATTGGCTGGGCATGTGAAACTATATATCATACAACTTGATTTGTAAGCTTTTTTTGAATAAGAACAGGATGAGGTTTTATAATTACTTGTTGAATAGTTTGTTGGTGAACCTTTACTGACTTATTCGCAAGAGATTCCTTGGTAACATGATGGATATCCCTAAGATGATTTATTAAATTACTTGTTGAACCTAACCATAAATACTCTGTATTGCATTCTTAAAAAAACATTGAACTTTTTCGACTTCTTCTTCTTGATTATTTAATAAAACTGTTGAAAAATATTTTTTAAAAAATTGCCATATGAAACTTTCTGGCTTCCTTTTTTTTTTGTTCTAATACTACTCAATTTTGAGGTAGATGTTGATGTTGAAGCTAATTCTTCATTATTGCTGCTATTTCTTTCTTCGTTGTTATTATCAGATAAAGAATCGAACTTATCACTATACAAATTTTCCATTGTAGATTCTTTTATCTAGATATTACCACAAAGATGACACTTCTACCCTTTTATATTATAATATTGGCATAAAAGTACTTACATATTATACGGGTTTCATACAAGACAAAAATCTAGATTTGAAAAAATTTAATGTTTACTTTTATTTGATATTGTCTTCTTTTTTTACATAATAATAGATTTAGCTTCTATGAATCAAAGGCACTTACGTTTTACCCAAGAAAAAAAAAAAATCGAATATAAGCTAGCAGGTTTGTAGCTAGTATATTTAAATGTTTTTTTGTTCATTTCAAATTCTTAGAATAATTTTCCTTGTGCTTTTTTTTTTTTTATGTAACAACATTTGATTTTTATGAATTAAGCAATTCAATTATTAATAAATTAAGTAATTCAATTATAATTATGCATTATTATTCTTATGTTATTTATATGATTCTAATATGAAACTATTAATTGCAAAACCAGTTAACAAAAAAGTTATCGCAAGAATAAAGTAAGCCTTTAATATATAAAATGCTTTCATCTTACCTCAGATTAAAGTAATTATGGCTTTTGTTTTTTTTTTTTTATTGACAACTTCCTCTTACTTAACCAACAACCCACACTTATTATGTGACGACAAGAAATAATTTAATAATTGTTGAAGAAAAAAATTTTTCAATATTTTTTTTTTAAGATATAAGTTACGTTATGCATATTCGATTAACAAAATTGGTAGAGTCAAATGTAAATTATAAATAAACTATGCATGCA